ATGCAACGCCTGTTTGAATTATACGTTTCAGGCAAACTTCAGAATATGATTGGTTGTCAACTGACATATGTTGTACCATAATATTCACAAAGACGAGATGTATAATGAAGTGTTTACTGAGTACAGGATAAATATGCGTCATTGATGAAGGTGGGCTGAAACCATCACACAATATTTAGAGATTCAAGCAGTGGCGTGTAAAAATACGGCTGGGCCCCCCCACTTTTTCTCAAAATCGTTCCTAGGGTGTGAAATTTAATATGTTTTATTTTATCTAAAAGCTAATGTTTCAATTCTACAAGTATTGGGATCAGTAGCGTCTTGCGTATTATGAAATTGTATTGGTTGCAGAGGGTACAGACCGACACAAATAAGTTTGCATCTGAGACAACTCAGCCTATAAATGCGCACTGAACATGGCAAGGGAAACACTCCAGAAGAGTATTTGTAAATCCATTATACCAAATCGCCGTACCTACGTCTTATTCCTTCTAACCGAATACCACTTAGCTGTGATAACTGAAATATTCTTGGTTGTGTAGTGTCGTGTCAAGTAAATCTTACCAATCTTAACTATAGGCTCCACATCACAAAAATTTGGTTACCTTTCCTTAGTTTTTCATTGAATCGCATTATTAAAACGATAGTACCTACTTAAGAAGAAAACATTTCTTCGAATGCCTATAAATGTCTTATATTACGGAACAGAAAAGCCTGCTGATTAACACATGTGGTTTCGACTTCCTAAAAAATTGGAGATTAGCAGAAATTCAGACTGATGTCTAGACATCATCTGGTTGAGAAATGATGAACAGAGGCAAGTGAACCACATTAGTAATTTCTTATACATTAGCTCATTATAATTATTATTTCAGCATGAGTCTCCAGGAAATATGAACCACGAGCTGAATAATTAAATGTTTTTATTAACTGCCGGGGCTGAAAATTTATCGTTCATGTTGAACTAAAATACAATATGTTTCGTATGTATATTTCTAAATTCATGAGTAGGTTTTCTGTAGATCTTGTGGGCAGGGAAATTGTCAAGACGAATTTTAATATGTTTTTTGTTTATTGCTTGTAATATTAGGGATAGTCGTGAATAAGGTTTGTATGAAAGATACTGATAAGCTAATTAGTTAAAAGTTAGCTTCACAATATATATCAGGAATAAATATTATTCCATCAGGATAATCTAATTAAAAAAATAAATTGTGTGTAAAAAATTAAAAAAAAAAGAAAAGCTGGAGAGCTTTCTATCCCTTTTTAAGGCAAAACCTACACTAAATTGTAAGCATGGAATCTGAATATATTGAATAAACCTAGTTGTATTAGTCCACCTTTCCGTCAGTATTCGACATGATTTAAATTTAGAAATAACAGCTGGTATCACTTTCTCATTATTATCATCATGGTTAACCCTTTTAATAAAATTCAATTCGAATGAAACCAATATACTTTTTCTTATATGTTCCTGTTAATAGTGAAAGTAATCAAACCGACTTTATCATCTGTCCGTCATAATATATACCAACAAATTCACAGTTTTCGTTGCTATTTCAATTTGTGCTACTCAATTTTTATATCATCCCCTTAGTATTTGACTGTCATTTGATTATCATTGTAAATCCGCATGAGATCAGCGATGCCAAAATATCACGGAAAATAAAGCATTTCAACAGCATTTCTTGTCCACTACTGATCATTTTACAATGCACTGTAAAAATCTATTGTTGTTTTATAAAAATGAATTCCTTTTCGCCTACACAGTGTTTTTTACAATTTTTCCGCTTACTCGTTGTTATTTACATTATTTCGCCAGAATTCAGAGAATGGATCGAATTTCGAAGTTCTGAGAAAACAAGTAAATTTTGTAACGTCTGTGGAAAGGTTAGAGAACTGATATCATACGACATCTGTTCATCAGTTCTTTTCAAAAATATAAGGACAGTGAACATTATCTTGAGGTAAATGACGCGTATCTCAGAAAAAGTCTCTTCTAAATCTGTAAAAGGTAACTATAATACCATTACTGACATTATAATCACAATTAGCATGAAACTTTTTTCAAGATACTGAGTTTTGGATGAGATAGTTGCCCTATTCAATACCAGAGCTGACATTCGATCACACAGTGGGCTGGCACAGCTAAGTGCTGCTATGGTCTTCGCATCGGTTGCCGACTTCTGGTCTCTCCAGATTTGAGCAATATCTGGTGCTGCTTGAATCCTTCGTGGATTGTTACTGGATTTTTAGACCAGGGCGGATCTGTTGCTAACTTTTGCTGGAATACCCTCTGTGCAACTCACATAATAAAAGTGTAGATCCCTACATCTGGGCGAGGTCCGGAACATTTTCAAAATTGCAAAAATATTTAAAAAATATAAAAAACACCTACTTTATCCGAGTTTTTTACTTATATCTTGGAACCTATGCATTTTGGAAGAATATAGAAGAGGAAAAAAGTTTTAGAATTGAATTTTGCACAATATACTGTAAGTTAAATATATTTAAATTTATTACCGATGTTACAAAATAGCAATAATTGATGAAAAAATGGCAAAATAATCAAGTTTTTTGGATAGTTTTTTAAAAATATTTTAATTGCTCCGAGGGCAAACTACACACCAAATTTCATTAAAATCGGTTCTATAGTTTTCGCAAAATAATTTTTTGAAAAAAATTTTTAAAAAAATTTTCGAATTTTCAAAATGTTGCACAGCCTCAAATAAAGCATCTAGATACATGAAAATTTTTTCACATAGAAAAGACCGCTTAACCTTTCAATCTTTTTTTTATTTTGAAACAATTATATTACATTTATCAATTTGCAATTTAGTTTTTTTCAGAAATTATAATTTTAAAGTACTCGGAAAGACGCTTCTCTTCAAAAAAAAGTTAAATTCCGTTTATTAATTCTCGAAATATAAGCGGTGAAAGTTTATCGGTATTTACCGTTAATTTCTAAACAATTTAGCAATAATCTTTGATCCAGTGGCTTCGTTTTTCCGAGTTCTAAGCTGGAAAAAATTTTCGTATCCATAAGTTATTGGTAACATAGATAAATCAGCGGAAAAGCAGTCGCTCGCACGCGCGAAAAGTGACTCAAAACGCGAAAAGTGGGGCAGAGGGCTTTCGCTCCGAGACTGAATTCGGAGGTTCAATTGAGAAAGTACGAAAAAAATTGCATTATCGTCTTCTAATGGACCAATTTCGATCTTTTTTTTTAATCCGATGTCTCGCTAGCCAAGGAATTCGAATATCGTAATGCCAACTGTCTAATTTGCACATATTTTTAAGTTTATTATTTATACATTAAATATACTGTATATTTTACCCTATGATATTGCATTTTGTCAATGAAAAAATTTGTTTACGTATATATTTCAACACTGAATATAAATATATTTAGTTATAATTATTACAATTATTTAAATAATTTTTGTTTAAATAAATTATTTTTTTTTATCTGGGAATAATTATTTTTTTTAAATACAGATAAAATTAAGAAACAATAGTACTTTAAAATTACAATTTTTGAAAAAAACTAAATTGCAAATTGATAAATGTAATCTACTTGTTTAAAAATAAAAAAGGGAGTGTTAACTTTAAAATTTTTCTGTGGCCGTCCTAATCAAACAATTTCAATTTTTCAAAAACCGTTTGAAAGGTTAAGCGGTCTTTTCTATGTGAAAAAAATTTCATGTATCTACATGCTTTATTTGAGGCTGTGCAACATTTTGAAAATTCGAAATTTTTTTTGAAAACATTTATCAAAAAATTATTTTGCGAAAACTGGAACCGATTTTAATGAAATTTGGTATGTTGATTTTTTATATTCTAAAGTTTTTTTTATCAAAATTATAAGGCCATCAGAGCAATTAAAATATTTTTAAAAAATTATCCAAGAAACTTTTTGCCTTTTTTTCATCAATTATTGCTATTTTCCAACATTGGTAATAAATTTAAACATTTTTAACTTACAGTATATTGTGCAAAAATTTATTCTAAAACTTTTTTCCTCTTCAATATTCTTCCAAAATGCTTAGGTTCCAAGATATAAGTAAAAAACTCGGATAAAATAGGTATTTTTTAAAATTTTTGCAATTTTGAAAATGTTCCGGACCTCGCCCAGATCTAGGGATCTACACTTTTATTATGTGAATTGTACTGAAGGTAATCCAGAAAAAAATTGCTTGCCCCCTCCCACATTCACCTCAAAACAGATCCGCACTGGTCTATTTTTCTTGTTTACTTTGTCGTGATGCCTCAGCTCTACTTTAGCGGCATTTCTGGCGATTTTGAAGTGTAGTGCCTACAACATCGAGTTCTGTTTACATAATTTGCTACGGCTTTGGACATTGGGAGGGGTTTGGAGCTTAGTGAAAAGCTTCAGCGATTGGATTCGAAAGATGCGTGACAATTTTGATTTCCAGCCAGCACCAATTGGAAGTTTTTCGCAAGGGGCTCCATGCGCAGAGACATTTGTTGCATTGACACATCGTGTTTTGAGCTCTTTCGGCTTTACTAGAAACATCCAATTACGAATTCGAAACCTAGTTGATTTTCGAAACTCCTCGCACGAAAATAGCAATCAAACATCTCTGAATCAAAAATCAACTTGTAAACAGAGATTTAACGCAATTCCTTAAAATCTGGGAATAATCTGCGGACCAAAACAAAGAATCGGCGGTCGCCGTGCCCTGCCAAATTACCACGCAGCCCACTTTCGGCGTACCGTCTCGACGACGGCGAGGCGAAGAGCAGAGAGACAGAAGAGCAGCACGTACGTAGTATCTCAGCCACTTCATCTTTAAAGCATCTCCTACACGCCCTGAACTTTCTTACCTCAGCGGACCAGCTGGTTCGCCGACGCTTCGCACCGTCTGCGGGGTACCTGCTCCTCGTGGTCTGCCGCTCGTAGTAACCCCACCACATTCCAGTAGTAGCGTAGTAGTAAGGCGAAACGCGTACGCATAGTCGACTTGATCAGCACTATAGTAACAGTTTGATACGTATTTCTGCATGCTGTAAGCAAAAAAGCAGTGCGGCGCCGGCTACTGTTTATATTTAAATTGCGGCAGGTCTGACAGGTCAGGCGGAGGTGTACCGTACAGAGTGTTTGCTCGCCGACCGCCTGGATGGCGGCTTTGGGTTATTGACAAGTCCTTGGTAATTTTAGTGCCGTCTTCTCTCGAGTTTTGTTGTAGACTTTACGACTTTCAGGGATTGGATATTTCACAAGTAAGTGGAATACGTTTATTTTACGATGTAGTACGTACTCGAAATGATGTATTTACAAATGGAGGGTGCGAGGTGAGACGACGTTTTAACAACGACCAGATACGGGGTGTTTTCAGAATTCGATGCTTTTGATTTAATATATGATATTTTAGTTTTAGCTTTGCAACACGCAAAATTCTTGAAATTCACTTACGTTAAAAATGATTTTAATGATTTGTTTTGGCTCGACCAGTCCTGGAGCGATATACAGGGTGTTTTTAAATGAAAAATGATAAGAGGATTGAAGTAAAAATACCTTATATGAAAGTTGCACCCCTGAGGCGATATACCCTCCTAAAGGAGCGGATTGAAATACACATTTCAATTTTTTTCTTTAACATGAGGAATACTAGAGGCACGAAACTTGGTATGAGCATCCTACTAATAAAGAGGCAACTTTTCAATATTTGTTCAATCATTGGCGTATTTTATAATGGAGTGAAACAGTCAACCCCATTGCAATATTTTATTAGAAATTTTTTATATGACGCTAATTATTTATTTTAAAATATTTATTAGGAAGGCTGATTTATTGCGCAACTTTTTTACCTCTTATAATTTTTCGATAAAACCGATAGTTTTCTAGTAAAAAAATTAGATGCTTCATCGTGCACTAAAGGAGTAATTGCGAAAATTTGTAAAAAAAGTAGGCGGATGTCAAAACAAATAAATTGTTATTTATAATATGAATAAATTGACACTTTCTGTAAATAAGCTGGTAATTTGTTTGATAACTTATGACTATGGGACATGTATTAGGTAAAGTTATTTATCTGAAATAAAATTTAACACAAACGAAAAACAAGAAATGCAAAATTAAATTTAAAGAATATTCTCGACATAATTTCCATTTTGCTGCAAGCATAACCTAATACGTCTATTGAAGTTATAACGCACTCGCACAAATAGTTCTTGGTTATAGCGAAGGTCATCTGCTGCCTGAAATATACTTAAGCGTAGTTCTTCTAAGGAGGCAACATTAGTGGCATAAACAATACTTTTTATGTGTCCCCACAAAAAGAAATCCATAGGCGTTAAGTCAGGTTAAAGTGCAGGCCAACAAACAGGGGCATCACCACCACGACCTATTCAGCGATTCGATTCAAATAATGTTGGAAGATTTTCGTTCAAAAATCTAAGATACTCGGCCGCTCCAAGCCTGTGTGGAAGAATAAAAGGACCTACTAGAGTATTTCCTACAATTCCCATCCAAATGTTTAAACTGAAATTATGTTGACATCTTGAAACAAATATTTCATGAGTATTTTCTTCAGACCATTAAAGGACATTATGAAGGTTTACTGCACCTACTCTAGGAAAATTTGCTTTATCGGTGAAAAGTCTATTCATTAGGAAATTTAAGTCATGCCTGGAAATATTAATGTACCATTGACAAAAATCCACGCGGTTAGGTAAATCAGGGTCATTCAATTCTTGCACGGGTTGATGGTGAAAAGGGTATAAAAGATTTTCATGAGCTACATTCCACTCAAGACTGTGAGAAACTTGCAGTTGCCTGGACACCTGCCTTGTGTTTGTACCACAGTCTCGTTCTAGATGTTCCAATATAGCTTCTTCAGTTTCAACAGTTCGGACATTATGCCTTCTTCCGGCACCCTCACGATTGGGCTGAATTTTACCAGTTTCACGAAGCCTTCTTTCCACCGAGGCCAATGTTTGTCTATGAGGAATCGGTCTGTTTGGATGTCTTTGGTGGTATAATCTTACTGCCGCGTTACTATTTTGTTTTTGGATTCGAAAAACACTTGGAGCATGTCGACATATTCGTCATTGGTATAAATATTATTTGCCATAATTATTCTGATAATAAATTAATCAATTGGTACTAATTATTGGTTGACAAAGAGTCAATTTGTTAATATATAAAATATAAATAACAATTTATTTGTTGACATCCGCCTACTTTATTTTTACAAATTTTCGCTATTACTCCTTTAGTGAACGATGACGCATCTAATTTGCTTCATATAAAAAATTTCTAATAAAATATTGCAATGTGGTTGACTGTTTCATTCCTTTATAAAATACGCCAATGATCGAACAAATATTGAAAGTTGTCTCTTTATTAGTAGGATGCTCATACCAAGTTTCGTGTCTCTAGCATTCCCTATGTTAAAGAAAAAAATTAAAATATTAATTTCAATCCCCTCTTTAAGAGGGTATTGTAATAATTGCAAACTGTTTAATTTACTTTTAATATTAATTTTAATAGAAACAATTTTTTTATTTTTTTTTATAAGTATGTATAATATTATCGAAATTAAATTAAATTACTTATTTGAATTAAGTTCTATTATTATTATTATTAAATTGAAATTATTATAAGAACTATACTTTGATAATTTTTTATATTCAAACCACTCTCATCTCTGGGTCAGTTCTAGTAACAATATAGCACAATTCATCGAAACAACAAAATTAAAACTCGAATCATAAATTAATTATGTCTATATTATAAATTATTAGTTCAATGATGGTTCCAACAATTCCAATATTTCTTGTACTTCTACAAACAATTGTAAACAATAATCCTCAGTTAACACTATTTACGAAATACTAAATTCTAAATTATTTTCATATATAAGTAATCAACTTTATAAAGTAAAAAAAATTTTTTTACATGTACTAAATTTTCAAAATTATTTTGTTTCCATTCTCAAGTTATTACACATATTATTGCATATGCTTGCATGTAATAGTTTATTAATCTAAAATTTCAACACTAAGTTAACTAATTGTAAATTATAACTTTTGACAGTTCCTGTCAAATTAATTTTGTCCTCCAGTGAAACTTCACAATGTCTTTCTACTGTCTATGCATTTGAATATGGCACTATTAAGGTAGGGTCTTTAATATTACATATATTATATTAATTCTCAAATAACTTGAAATGTTCAGAGCTGTCAAATTTGTAACTTATTGTTGATACTTTGATATTGACTTTCACAAATTAATTATGTAAGTACCTTTTTTTTTCTCTTCTTGAGTAGTAGGAGTTGAGTTATTTTCTCACACTGCTAACCAACTAGATACCTGAAGTTTATTTTCATACTCTACTTTTACATTATCGTCTCCTCTATGCATCTACTTGTACTTAATATCCTTTTGATTTTACTATTCTGCTCCACTTACTTCCAACTTTTTTATTCTTCCAATTTGACTTCTCTCACTTTCCTTTTTTTTTGTAACTAGTAGTTTTTCTCCCTTCTTTTGTTTTTTCTTTGATCCTCACTATTCCTGAAGTTCCTTACACCTTCCTTTATATTCTTATAATGTTCTCTTTTTTTCTTCTTCACTTCACTTTACACTTTATTATCTATTATTTACTTTTCTAATATTCTACTGACAAATTTTATATTAATTTCCCTGAATTATTGTTTAATATTTTTATTTTTATTTACATTACCAAAATTTTTTTAACCTATCATTGAATTTTTCTCTGCCATCTCCCTTCACTCTGTCATTATTTGACATTTGTTAATTTTTACTTATATTTAAATTTTAAATTTCAAATTTGTAATTTATCTCAGTATATTAGCTCAGGGGTGCAACTTTTATATAAGGTATTTTTACTTCAATTCTTTTATTTTGGCTCTACATTCACTGGTACCGTTTTTGCTACTTCATTTAAAGACACCCTGTGTATTGCTTAATTTTTTTGACTTGATATGTAAATAATTAAAACAGAGGCCGCTTGATGTAAAATGAAATGGAAATGCAGGTCTTAGTTTCCCTCTTCACTACTTTGCTAGTGCGGACCTTCAGGACTAAAATTAATTTGGTTTGCCTGTTTTATACTGCTATTAGACAGATAACGACTACTCTTTTGACATATTCACCATTATTTGTTGCATTTACAGAGCCGTTCGGTTTAAACGAATATATTTAGGGCATTTTTAAATCAAATTTAAATTATTTCATAAAATGGGCGGAATCTCATGTGCACACAGTCATTCAGGGGACTGTCATTATGTAGTTAGATAGACCTACATAGTAATTCACGATAATTTATTTCCACGATATCTGATCAAACATTTGGTCTATTAATTTATAATTCAAATCCGATTAATACAAATGCATTCATTGTGACGATATCGGAATCGATAATAATGTATGCACCGTAGGAGGTAATTACTTGATTTGCGTAAGAATTTATTCGGAATTGATCAATGAATAATTATTGTTCTCTGTGTACGATATTTCTGAAACAGTGAAAGAGGCGACCTCCAGGTTCTTGTTACGGGCGTTTGCTCCATTCTAGACAGAAAAGACTAGTTTGTGGAATGCTGTCGAAGCCATTATAATCTTATTTGGACATTGCCACCGAGATTAAAGAAATAAAGCATCTCAGTAGTAATTTTTCAATATTCTAAAAAAAAATGGGAGATAATCTTATTGATACGTGTCCAATATTATTACAATTAAAAGGAATTTAGTTGAGTTAAACTTTTGCTACGTTATAAAAGCTGTTAACAGAATTTTAAATCATGTAAATAGGAAAAATTAGCAAAAAGTTCAGTATTCATAAAATAAAAAAGGAAATAAAACTACTTTTCAAACAAAATTATTGGTCACGTGACATGCAATCATTTATGAAGGCTGAAGTTAGCATTGCACGATACGTCTCGCTGTGTAAATATATTATTTAACCTTATATCTGTTTGTTCCATACAGACACCTAGATAAATAATGATGTGGACAAACAAGCTGATAACGCAAGTGTAAAAATGGATGCATGATTATTATTTCCTTCCTTGGAGAGCCTACTATATTTAGATATTGTATCATTTAACATTGCTACATTGCTACTTTTATCTCTCAGTGTATTTTTGTGCTGACTGGCATTGTGGGAAATAGTAACGTCTTTGAAAGTGCAATAGAAAACCTGTGTTTACGATTACAGACGTATTTTGTACAACTATCTGCAACCCAACGTGAT